TTTCGGAGAGGACAATGAAGCATGAGAGCAGCAACAGTCATTTGGAAAATGCCGTAAAATTGGGATTACTTGGAAGGGTGAATGTTGCAGCTCAGATTGACAGCGCCTACAGACGCGGCATTGATTCTCATAATAGGAAGGTGGAAGAAAACAGGTACGTGCTTGGTCGGATCATCACCTGTATTAAACTGTGTGGGAAATGTGAGACAGCACTGCGGGGCCACAACGAGTCGGCGGACTCTCTGAATCCAGGGATATTCAGGTCAATTTTCGAGACAATGTGTGAGGGCGATTCCAGGCTTCAACGGCACTACGAAGCTCAGCTTGTTTTCAAAGGGACATCAAGCCCCATACAGAATGAACTCTTGGACTGCATGTATGATGTGTACAGGGAGGAAATAGCCAAGCAAGTGGACAACACATCATTTGTTGCCGTTCAGGCCGACGAGACAACCGATGTCTCCTGTAAATCGCAAATGGTGATTGTGCTGCGATACATTATGCCTGACCTCACAGTTACAGAGCGTTTTTTGGAGTTTGTGGAAGTAAAGGACAAAACTGGTGTAGGTCTCTCTAACAGCATCAAGGCTGTTCTGGAACCCCTGAAGCTGAAAGAAAAGCTAATCGCTCAGACCTATGACGGGGCGGCCGTCATGAGCGGTAACGTGCGCGGGGTACAGACGGTGATGAAGGAGACGTACCCAAACGCTCAGTTTGTTCACTGCTACGCCCACCAACTGAACCTGACCCTGCAGCAACTGTGTTCAGCAAGGATGAGCATCCTGAAGGTGTTTTTTGCAGATCTAACTGCTTTTTCCACTTTTTTCTCTCCGGTGCTCCAAAACGTGTTGCAGCTCTTGCAGAGGCAACACAGAGACGCATCCCACGGCCACCGGCTGTGAGATGGAACTTTAAAAGCAGAACTGTGAACGCGGTTTGGGAGACCCGAGATGCACTACTTCAGTGTATGAAGCATATACGCGCACAACCAGGATGGGATGCGGTCACCATAAGTGAGGCATACGGCCTGTCAAAGAAACTGCGGGACCGAGCATTTATGCAGCTCCTGGAGTTTTTTTCGTTGCTTATGCCAGAAGTGGATGTTCTATACAACACTCTGCAAAAACGAAGCATCGATGCACCTGGGATCAACAGCGCGCTCTGCCGTTTCAAGGAAAATGTTCAGAAAATGAGGCAGAAAACTGATGCATTGGCCGCCACTGCTCATGATGGAACAGACGAGCCAGGCCGACGAGTCAGCAGCACAGCGCCGGTGATGAAGGAGGCTTGTGACACAGTCATCTCACAGGTGGAACAGAGGTTCTCACAGAGTGACCATTTGATTGCTGCAAAGCTTGTTGACAGCTCATTCTTCCCACAGCATGTCCTGTCATTTCCTACACCTGAGCTTGACTGCGCCGTGAAACTGTGGCCTGCGTTGGGAAACAAGGAGAAGTTGAAGTCTGAGCTGACCACGCTCTACCGCCACAGTGAGCTTCACACTGGAAACACTGCCCTGTCTCTGTTGAAATCCATTCACGAGAACAACTTGGAGGAAACGTTTGCTGAGACTGTTATTTTGGTCAAAATAATAGTGACAACTCCGATGACGACATCCGAGTCAGAGAGGAACTTTTCCACCCTCAAAAGGATAAAGACTTTCACTCGCAACACCATGGGACAGCCGCGACTTAACGCATTGGCCATGCTTTCAATTGAAAGCCAGTTGATCCAGCAACTACAGGACTTCATCCCCAAAGTGATAGACACATTCTGTCAGAGGAAGGACCGCCGTGCCGCTTTTCTTTTCAAGTGAGCCTTCAGCTTTGGTAAGTTCATTTATGTCATATATTTTGTTGATCTTCTGTGTTTTGCCTCTGCTGGATCGATTGATATTGTGACCTCGATGATGAGTGTCTGTGTTTTCCTTATATTTACAGTCTATGGTGTTTTAATGCTAAAGCATTACGGTTGTTGTTATTGTTAAGAATTACTTTGTGATGGTGACCTTTACTCCATGTATGAAGGTGCATTACTATGACATCCCCACGCTGTGTACGTAAATGTATGCGCTCACAGTGTTGCTCCTGTGGTCTTCAGTATGTAATTTGACACTCCCCCCCTCCCTCTCCTCCCCCCCCCCTCTCTCTGTCCCCCCTCTCTCTCTCCTCCCTCTCTCTGTCCCCCCCCCTCTCTCTCTCTCTCTCTCTCTCCCCCGACCTCTTTCTGCCCCCCCCAGTTTTGTACACCTAGAAACGCCACTGCTCCTGATGTGGAGAAAACCCTCTCGCTAGGGACAGAGGTAGCAGATACAGCCAGGTAGCGCTTTGCTAACATGGCAACATAAGGATATTTGGTGTTTGTAATAGCTTTGGCTCGGTCTGAACTCTCTGCGAGTGGTGGAGGCTTAAATGCTAGTGATGAGTCGGTCGCGAACGAGCCGGCTCAAAGAGCCGGCTCTTTTAAGTGAACGACGGGAGCCGGCTCTCGCCCGCGAACGAGCCATTTTTGCAGAGGGATCTAGATCGGCATGAAGGCACATTATGCAATGTGCAATGTGCACATTATCCCGCTTATTACATGGCCACATTCTCAACAAAGTAACGACATGACTCCCAATATTAATGGAAATGCTTTTATGGATTTAGAAAATGATTTTAGTGATTTAAAAAATAGTTTTATGTATTGATTTAAATTGACATGCATCCGCTAAGAAAAGTAGTCCGTTGTTACTATTTGAACTAACGTAGCAACGGCAGGAACTGCTTCGATAGTGTTTTTGATTACAGATTTTAAAACATCGTTGCTTGCTTTAAAAGTAGCACAATTCATTATGTCAAACCTTGGAAAGTATCTAGATATCCCTGCCCTAATGCCAAAGTAACTGGCAACTGAATATGTGTCGCCGTTTGATGTCTATGTCTGGACCGCTGCGTAAAAAGGAGGGTTTCTGCCCCATTACTTCTCTTCTTACTTCTATAAGAATAAAACACGGAGGACGGAGATCTCTTTTTCTCCCCCTCTTCTGACAGCCCAGCAGCTGATCTAAAGCACACTCCCCTCTCCTGCAGGGGGGCGTGGTCAGCTGCAGCTCACAGAATCAGCCCCCTGCAAAAACAGCGCTGGATGGAGCAAATAGAGCGAAATGAGGCATGGCTAAAATGCAGGATCTTTTTGGTATTTTGAAAAAAAACCTATATTTATATACTTTATATAGGTCGATACAGTAGCCCCTTTTTTTAAATAGTTTTTATGGGTGTTGCTATCTGTTTTGTGTAGTGTGGTTCTACAAGCAAGTCAATGCATTCATTGGGTGGTATCAGAGAGTTGCACGGGTCTGTAAATGCAATGAAAACAATTGGCCACAGCAAATCATTTATATTAAACATGTAATTTTTACTTTTGAATACTTCAGTACAAAGGATGTATTGAATAATTTAAGTGATATATGTGTACAAATATAAATCATTAGTCAAAACAGGGCTACATTTGATTTAATTAAAAGGTATAATATGTGGTAAACTGAAGAGCCGTTTGGGAGCCGAAAGAGCCGGCTCTTCTTGGTGAGCCGAGCCAAATGATCCGGCTCACCAAGAAGAGCCGGAATTCCCATCACTATTAAATGCTATTGGGAGTTGGGTTTGCACTTCAGTCTTTTTTCTTTTGGTACCGGTGATATTCACGTTCGGGTGATGCCTTTTCAAGAGTGTGCAAGTTTGATGTATTGCCAGCCGCGTAACCAATTTTAGTTGAACAATGCCGACAAACAGCTTTGGTTCGGTCCACCTGTCTTTGTCCGTCATCCTTGTACGTAACTGCGAAACCAAAATGTTCCCAAACCGGAGACTTCAATGATGCTGGAGGATTTTCGAGCTCAACTTTATCTGCGTTCGCCATTAATTTTTGACAGTTCCTCAAATTACTGACTACATTTGAACGCATCCCTCTGACCTATGCCTCTCATCCAATGAAATGACTTGCTCGCTCTATGACGCGTTGAACCCAATGTGAGCAAATTACTCTGAATAGGCGCTTTCACACTGCGGTAATTTTCCCACAAAGGTTCATGTGAACTTAGTTCATGTGAACTCTTTTATCGCGTTCACACCAAAAAGAGCCGGTACTAAAATTAGTTCATGTGAACCTTTTTACCCCCTCGAAAGTCCCTGCTAGAGAGCAGGGACTTTCGAACGGCTCTTTTGTGAGAAAAGAGCTAAATTTCTGATTGGCTGGAAGGATTGCAAACCACGCCCCGTAAAACTCCCAAAAAGTTTTGTGAAGCCGCCATTTTATTATCCTCGCATTAGCATTATTAGCACTAGCATTAACCCAGCGCAGAAACGCAGATAGACTAACTTATGGCAACACAAAATAAAACATGGGAGTGGTGGAGATGAGGAGGTGTCGGCGTTCTGGCGATTTACTCGGAAGGCTTCAGTAGAAGCTGCTGGGAGTCCCAGCAGCTTCTACTGAAGCCAGTCCCTAACTCCGGGGACTTCCGGCCGGGGACTTTGGGCGGCAGTATACGCCGTGAAGTGGTTTGCGGCCTGCCAGTAAACCCAAAGCAGAAGAAGAACAAGTGACGCCAGCGGCTTCATTTGCCTAATCCACCCCCAGGGACTTTTTCCAGTGTGAACGCGATCTGTACTTAGTTCATGAGAACTAAAGAGTTCTCATGAACTAAATTCACATGAACCTTTGTGGGAAAAGTACCGCAGTGTGAAAGCGCCTATTGCTGCGACGCAGTACCTGAGATTACTTCCAAAAAGTTATTCACGTTCTCAATTGTTTACGTTTAACGTTATATTCGTTCGGTACACTTTGGTACACACCTGTACCGAACCGAAGAGCCCGTACCGAATAATTTCGGTACGGGTACGTGTACCGTTACACCCCTAATATACACTGATGATAGATCATAGAGTGACAAAGCTCTACAGAACAGAAAGGAATAAATATATGTTCAACTTTGTGGGGTGTGAGCTTAAGTAGAGCCTCACCTGTGACTGGTGCTCCTCATCCTTGTTAACACCCTGCACCTGCAGCAGGTTCTTGGCCACACCCACACACGGCAGCCCTGAAAGCACCCCGAGGTGACACGCCAGGCCGAACTCTGCAGGGAACAAACAGGGCCTGGGTCAGATTCAAATGCCGGTTTGCTCTTGATAGAACAGTGTTGACTTTGTGTTATACATTAAAGAAATGTATTATCGTGACATGAAAACAGCCTTGCACACATGCAACAAAAACATCAGTATAAGCTAAATTATTATAAACACTGCTATTGGCCTTGGACTTTATCAATCGCTGCATCCCTAGTAAATGCAGCAACACCTAAATTAACGCGGTCATTACTTACACACACGTGCTTTTTTTGCCATTAATGTATAAAAATGCATTTTCTGACTGCCACTAAACACATCCTGCTGTAAATAAAAAAGAAGGCACAAATATTGCAAACACTTTCCCTGTGTCGGCATAGAGCAGCCTGACCTACCTCTGTAGTGGAATAGACCATTCCCATCCACAAACACCACCTGTGGAGAGGGCACAATGGGAAACAAATCACCTATAGCTGTAAAGAGTTGTATTTGTCAAGGTTGAAGACATTTGCACGGCAGACATTTTAACATGTTAGATCAGGAAAAGCACAGGTGTGATCCGTAATGTTAATCAGGCTGCTGAGAGACTGCAGTGCAGCAGAGGCATCGTGTTGTTATGGGATCCACCTGTGCTTCTTTTCTGAATGAAGTTAACACCTTAGCAGGGAAACTTTTTTCTGCGTATCTACAGTCTCTCACCCCAACCTCTCTGTGCCTCTGTCTGATGTCACGTAAAGTGTGAGATAACAGAATGTTTTATCCTGAGCTTCAAAAGTTAAAGTTAGAAAGAGACAAGATCTTCACACTGATACTTCCAGTCCCCCCACACTTATGAACCCTGGAAGCCAAAAGTGACTCGAAATTCATATTTCCGCTGTGAATCAGGACCGTCAAAGGGCCAGATAAAGGGAGCGGTGAGGTGTCAGGAGAAGTGTTTGTGTGTGCAGGATTTTGTGTGTGTATGGGGTGAAAGTGTGTTGTTTCTGCGCACCTGCGAGCATGCTGAGAGAGTGGGAGGAAGAGAGGGAGGTGCGTGGATAGCGACAGACAGAAGGGAGTGGGTGAGGAGGAATTATAGACGGCTTCTTGAGAAACAGTGAGCGCTTTGTCACAGGAGTTGAAATTAATTCAGCGTGTTTTAATGTTCAAGTTTTCACTTTTTGAATGAGCCCAATAGTGTCAGTAGGTTGGCTGTCTGGTTGTGTGTGACAGTAATTTAGATCTAATTTGGAAATCCATTGCTGTCTGAAATATACAGATACTTCCCAAAAGTACAATAAATGTACTGTATCACTTGTATCATGTAGTGTCTAAAATTGCACACATACCAGAGGTGACCAACGCAATTGTTAGCTAGCTAGCTAGCAATGATTGTTGGCTGTACAAACTGCTCAAATAACCCTATACAATTAACACTTTATTATTTTCCTCAACAACTAATATAGCACATTCCCTAAATAGTAAAAAAAAACATACCTATAACCTTTATGTGTACAGTATAGTCCTATATTTATTTACCGGAGCAACTGCAATGATGGATGGTCCTGTAACTCCCGTTCAGTAGCCAAGATGGCGGTCATTTAGTGTGAAAAGTGACCAGCACACTCAACTTTCTGACCATTATGAGGACACCATCTAGGTACACATAGTACATTTTGCCATACTTCGCAATGGGATGCACTTATGCACATAAAACAGCAAATGTAAGTACCGTTTTTGTTTTGTTTATTGTGCATGCCTTCAAAAATGACTTACCAACATCCCAGCCTCATCTGTACTTTGCTTCCCTAGCTAGCAGGTCATGACAAAAACTGATTCTAATGTGTTAGCATGCTAGCATGCTGAGTTAGCATTACAATCAGAGCAAAACTAAGCCCAGGTCCACCTGAGGGTAACAAAGTAAACATACTGTAAGGAGAGCAGAGACAATATCACATAACAAGCTGACAAGATTTATCATAGCAGAGTATGTATGATGATGAGGTGTTAGTTTTCATGGGCTTATTATTTACGACCCACCCTGGCTAGTTCCCCTTGTCTCCCATCTTAAACCTCTGAGCCACAGCCGACCCTGAATACACTCTAACATCTCAAACAGTTGTTAATTATATGTTTATAATTGTACCTCAAGTCATTGGAAGGACTCTTCTAGCACTTCAATGAAGCACTTTAATGTGTGCAAAAGCTGACCTGAGGAAGAAGTTGGGGCTGGTCCCTCTCCAGACGCTGCAGAGACTCCAGGAGGAAGGGGGTTTCTCTGAAGGCCAGGAAGCCGGCTATGTAGGGGGCTGTCAGGGTCACCATCTGGCTGTCCTCATACAGCAGCTGGGGAAAGAAAAGGGGACGGAGTGCTGGGTTTCGGTTCAAATGTATTTTTTGCTTAGCAATGTTCCAAACTGAGGGAAATGACTCGGAAGTACTTCAGTGGCAGCCATGAGCTCATATACTTCCCTTGTTATCTACCGGACTATCCTTTACGAAAGGAAAGGAGACATTGATGTCCCACAATTCCCTGCAGCCACAATATTTACGCACACACAAGAATCATGTAAGTAACGGTGCTTCTCAAAGAGGCCCTATTCTGCATTTTTGGGTTTTCCCTTTCCTGTAGTGTGTTATAGGCATGGTTATAGGTCTGTGTGCATGTAAATGGTCTGCAAAGGCTAAAATCCCAAAGTTCCTTCCAGAGGGAGTTTATCTCATGTACTCATTTAAAGATAGTGTAATGAACATAGACAGTCTATACAGTAAGGAGATGAAGGGCAGAATGACTTTAAAACTCTTAGGGTACTTTCTAATTGATTTATTATATATATATTTTGACGACATTTGTGTTTCCTTGCATGAAAAGTGATTAGGAAAGACAAAGGCTCAGACCATAGCTCTGATACCCACCCTGCTTGCTCATCGTTTGACAAGACTCTGTTTTTCTGTGTTTTTTGTGAGTTCAGTACAGTTTTACACTAAAGAAGGTTCATATTTTAGCCTCAATTTTAACTTACATTCTCCCTCTGCTTACACTCGAGTAATTTTTGAATACCTATTTAATGAGAATAAGAAGAGGGAGCCTGAGGTCCTCATTTTTCATTGCCAACGACTGCCTTCTGTATTGTTATTCATATGAATAATTAAGAACTTTAACTACAAGCAATAAAACATGCAGACGCTCTCATTGAGGTGCATGGAGGCCAAAACACACGCCTCGACACAAGGACGTTTTGAGAACAGAAAGGTCAACCAGCATTCAGGATGTCAATGTCCTTCACCCCTCCTCTGCTACACACGGTGAACAAACAACAGGCTGTGATGTTGGAGAAGGTTATGGCCGGGAATCATAACGAAGTGTCATTCTCACTGATTTTCCACATTTACAGTTTTAAAAGTGTGCAGAGCTCCTTTTCAAGACCTGTGTATTTAAATGCAACGTGACAAACTGTGTGTCATGTATTACTTTGTGTCATAAATGCCCTTAGGTGAGAGTGTTAGAGTAAAACGAAAGCAAGCAGGGAACATAGTCCCATTATTGAAAAGCATTTCTAGACAACATTTCTTTAGCCTCATTGGGTCCATGCATCAGCAGCGTACACAGTGATAAATGACATTAATTACAGCGGGTTATATAATGAGGCAGGCCCGGCTCCAGGATTAAATGACTGAGGGGGCTGTTAAAAAATCCGAGGGGGCGATTTGTTTTCAAAACAACGAAAAATACTGGCAATGTAATGATTTGACACACCAAGCTTTTTTCCTTCTCACTGCTCTACAATCTCTTTGCTTCTTTATTTTTATTCCGGATTGACCCCTCTCATTCTGTTGTTTTCCTCTGATCTTTAATAATAGATAGTACATTTTTAGATGGCTGCACTTTGGTTAACAGACTAACATTGATTTCCTCCATTTATAAATTGACAGGCTCTGTAATTATACCATAACCTTTTCTGCTCTATCCCTTAACTCGTCTTCCTATACAGATGTACTTACTTAGTATCTACTCTAGTCAGGTTAGGATTAAAGAAACCTTAATCTGGTTGATTTTTTATTTTCAGGATTGAATGTTCAAATCAAGACCTAAAACCTGGCATTTCATAAGAAAGTGACTAATATATAAACCAAATGTAATATTGGATAAAACACTACACCAAATGGACAGACACAGATTAAAAATAAAAATAAAGTCCCCTGGTTTGTCTCTAGAGTCTAACTGCCATGAGAAAAATCAAATCAATGTTCTAAAATCCGTCGCTGGATGTCGCTCATTGTACCAATACGGTTGATATAATGCATAACATATTATTATTCTAGTAAAAGGGCTCGCTTTGGCAAAAACCTGATCCATACAGACAGCCCTAAAGTGGTGCTATCTGTAGTTGTCTGTCTTATTTTCTGTTGATGTCATATTGTTTTCACCAGGGCCGGCCCTTAGGCATAGGCAGTATAGGTGAATGCTAAGGGCGCATCAACCCATCGGGGGCGCCGAAAATTGGGGAGAAAAATTACATCATGTATTTTTTAGCTGCCCGGATTATAACAGACAAAGACTCATTCTGAAAACTGCACTGGAACAACTCAACATCAAGGACATTAAAGTCAATTTACGAAAGTAAATCAAGAAATGAAGTAAACAAGCTGATCTTCAAGTTCCTCAAAAACACTGGTCTGAGGACAAGGATTTCATATAAACATTTAATAAATCAACAGTAGGTGGCGATATATGGTCCAAGTGGAAGCGATTCGCCATTAAAGAAAATAGAAGAAGTAGTAGAAGAAGAAATACGCTAATGCTACAAACAGGCACAACACTGTTACTCTGTTTTTACTGACCTGTAACATTTGATTTCACCTTTCTCTATTTTTTTTAACGCACGTTCAAAAACGGGAACATTTTTGGGAGTTTCAACCGGGTACCACCCACCGAAAACGGGGACTCTGCCCGGAAAACGGGGACGTTTTGGTCACCCATCCGACCGTGTTTACAGCTAGCACACACGCTAACATTAAGACTACAAGCTCACTTGGGGTTGAGGCTTGTTTACACGTTGCTTGACTGCCTGCCCACATATCTGATTTAAACGTAGTAACGTGTATTGGGGAAAATAATTATTTTAAAGTTATTTAATAATTGTGACATTTATTGTACTTTTTGATGGATGAATGATGCTCAAAGTGAGGGGGCAAATAATACAACTGAGGGGGCAATGCCCCCTTTTGCCCCCTCGTGGCGCCGGGCCCGTAATGAGGAGGGGCCGGCAGCCCATGCTAATGCACAGATAAATACAGCGAGGAGGAATGCTTGTGAAAGGCTGTGCAGGAAAAGGATAATGAAGTGAAAACTGGGACCGCCAAGGTCACCTTAACAACATTCGGCTTAACAAGACTCGACCTTGAGCTCAATGAGCTGCACTGCATATTAAACCTCCACTCTCCTGTGTATTCATATTTGTATGCCTGGCTTTAAGTGTTTCAAAAGATTGGAATTGGATGAGCTGCAACATTCACCATTCTTTTTTAAATGTTACCTTATCCATGAGAGTGTAAAGTAATTAGAGGGTTGAAATGAATGAATGACATTGAAAACCCCCTTTGAGATTAGATGTTTTAATAAGAAACAACCACTTTTCACAGGTAACTCCTATCTTCTTCATGATACTATACAGTAGGTGTACTGTTAAAGTGCACTTTGGGTAAGCATATTATTTACACCACATCTTGATCCTTGAAAACTTAAATACATTTAAAAAAACTGGAAAATAATGTGAAAAAGGTTTAACACACTGAAAAAACTTAAACGTTTACTTTTTTTTTTGTGCAGGTTTAACTTAAAGCTGCTATATTCTATATTTATAACAACAGAGCAAAGAAGTTCATGATGAAGGGTCGTAGCAGGAATTATTGGAATGGTTTAAGGTGAATTGGAAATCACCAACCGTCAGCCTCGGTGAAAGTATGAGTCATTTCCCTGAAGACTGTTCCTCAGTGGGGTAAAGTAACTAAGTACATTTAGTTACATGTTCGTTCTTTACTTTCCATTTAATGCCACTACATTTATTTCAACACATATATCATATCATCAGTGTTGGGCAAGTTACTTTTAAAAAGTAACTAGTAATAGTTATAGTTACTGCTCTCAAAAAAGTAACTAGTTACTTTATTAGTTACTAAATTATAAAAGTAACTAGTAACACGTTACTTTACTTTAATTTCAAAATAATAACAATACAAATACAAGTTGTTGTGTTGTTCTGTGGCACCGTAAGAGAAAAGACAACTCCCCACATGTACATTAGTTAGGTGCTTCAGGAGATTGGCATTGCTGTTATTCGATGTGGACAATGCTTTCTGTCCTGCACACAGTTTACATTTGACTGTAATATTTTTTGCATCCTTTATCCCCACACATTGAAAATAGTGGTTATATCTCCAAGTTGTAAATGCGCTGCTGCTCTCGCTGATACTTGCATCTGCCATAGTGTGTGTGTGTGTGTGTGTGTGTGTGTGTGTGTGTGTGTGTGTGTGTGTGTGTGTGTGTGTGTGTGGTGTGTGTGTGTGTGTGTGTGTGTGTGTGTGTGTGTGTGTGTGTGTGTGTGTGTGTGTGTGTGTTGGTGGTGGGATTATCTCGGCAAAGGAGAAGTGCTCACTATCACAGATTTTTTCAGATTTGTGAACAATATTTGAGAGAAATGGTTATTTTGTGTATATAGAAAATGTTTTAGATCTTTGAGTTCATCTCATGAAAAATGGGAGCAAAAACAAAAGTGTTGCATTTATATTTTTGTTCAGTGTGTGTGTTATTTAGATACTCTAGTGATATATGTCCTTTCTATTGTGAATGTGTATATACTTGCTGCTAATGTTAATTGTATTATATTTGTACCTTATTGTAACTTTTAAATATGTTGTACTTGTGTAAAGCCTGTACACACACGCTGCTGCGACAAAATAATTTCCCAATATGGGATAAGTAAAGCATCCATCCATCATCAATCCATCCATCATCAATCCATCCATCATCAATCCATCCATCATCAATCCATCCATCATCAATCCATCCATCATCAATCCATCCATCATCAATCCATCCATTCATCCATCCATCATCAATCCATCCATTCATCCATCCATCATCAATCCATCTATTCATCCATCATCAATCCATCCATCTATTCATCCATCCATCATCAATCCATCCATTCATCCATCCATCATCAATCCATCTATTCATCCATCCATCATCAATCCATCTATTCATCCATCCATCATCAATCCATCCATTCATCCATCCATCATCAATCCATCCATCATCAATCCATCTATTCATCCATCCATCATCAATCCATCCATCATCAATCCATCTATTCATCCATCCATCATCAATCCATCTATTCATCCATCCATCATCAATCCATCTATTCATCCATCCCTCATCAATCCATCTATTCATCCATCCATCATCAATCCATCCATCTATTCATCCATCCATCATCAATCCATCCATTCATCCATCCATCATCAATCCATCCATCTATTCATCCATCCATCATCAATCCATCCATTCATCCATCCATCATCAATCCATCTATTCATCCATCCATCATCATCCATCCATCATCAATCCATCCATTCATCCATCCATCATCAATCCATCTATTCATCCATCCATCATCAATCCATCCATTCATCCATCCATCATCAATCCATCCATCATCAATCCATCCATTCATCCATCCATCATCAATCCATCTATTCATCCATCCATCATCAATCCATCTATTCATCCATCCATCATCAATCCATCCATTCATCCATCCATCATCAATCCATCCATCATCAATCCATCTATTCATCCATCCATCATCAATCCATCCATTCATCCATCCATCATCAATCCATCCATCATCAATCCATCCATTCATCCATCCATCATCAATCCATCCATCTATTCATCCATCCATCATCAATCCATCTATTCATCCATCCATCATCAATCCATCTATTCATCCATCCATCATCAATCCATCTATTCATCCATCCCATCATCATCAATCCATCTATTCATCCATCCATCATCAATCCATCTATTCATCCATCCATCATCAATCCATCTATTCATCCATCCATCATCAATCCATCCATTCATCCATCCATCATCAATCCATCCATCATCAATCCATCATCAATCCATCCATCATCAATCCATCATCAATCCATCCATCATCAATCCATCATCAATCCATCCATCATCAATCCATCCATTCATCCATCCATCATCAATCCATCTATTCATCCATCCATCATCAATCCATCCATTCATCCATCCATCATCATCCATCCATCATCATCATCTATTCATCCATCCATCATCAATCCATCCATTCATCCATCCATCATCAATCCATCTATTCATCCATCCATCATCAATCCATCCATTCATCCATCCATCATCATCCATCCATCATCAATCCATCTATTCATCCATCAATCATCATTTTTATTTAATTTTTGTATTTCAATCATCAATCCATCCATCTATTCATCCATCATCAATCCATCCATCTATTCATCCATCATCATCCATCCATCTATTTATCCATCCATCATCAATCCATCCTTATATTCATCAATCCATCATCCATCCATCATTAATCCATCCATCTATTCATCCATCATCAATCCATCCATCTATTCATCCATCCATCTATCTAATCATCAATCCATCCATCCATCCATCCATTATCAATCCATCCATCATCATCAATCCATCCATCTATCTATTCATCAATCCATCCATCCATCATCAATCCATCCATCTATCTATTCATCAATCCATCCATCCATCCATCCATCTATCTATTCATCAATCCATCCATCCATCTATCTATCTATCTATCTAGTATCCATCCATTCATCTATTCATCCATCTATTCATCCATCCATCCATACATCTATTCATCCATCTATTCATCCATCCATCCATACATCTATTCATCCATCTATTCATCCATCTATTCATCCATCCATCCATACATCTATTCATCCATCTATTCATCCATCAATCCATCCATCTATCCATCCATCTATTCACCAATCCATCCATTCATCTATTTTAACTTGCTAAAAAATTCAACAGTGTTTTTAAATTGCCACCCTAAGGGTCAATGATGTGCCATTGTGCCTACATGTTTCCGCTGCGGTGCTCGGACCCCCACATATTTTTTTACAATATGTCTGTGGTCTAAGATAAAAGGGAAAGGGCTGTACAGTTTTTAGAAGGGGTAGATTATGCCGAAATGAGCAAAAGTTCTGAGTGCAAAGTATAAAATACATCATATATATTGTCATCTGTCATTATTCATGTTAAATATGTGATGTGAATGCAGGTTCACATCAGGTGAGTGCAGGTTTTCCGGCAGTGGCTCAGTCAGTAGGGGCTTGAACTGTGAGCCGTAGGGTTGCCGGTTCAAGTCCCCGACCAGACATAAATATGGAGTGTGGACTGCTACTTGGAGAGGTCCCAGTTCACCTCCTGCCCTGTCGTGGTGCCCTTGAGCAAGGCACCGGACAACAGACCTATCAGACATCCCGCCTGTCACCACTAGAGGTCACCAGAGCTCACAGATTCCTGAGTTTATGTGGAGCAACCTTTTATATACAGTGTGTGGTATTAACCAGTGATGGAAGAAGGATTCAGATGCTCTTCTTAAGTAAAACTCCTCCATTCAAAATCGTATTTAAGTAAAGTTAAAAAAGTATTATCAGAAAAATGTACTTAAAGTATAAAAAGTGAAAGTAATCATTGTGCAGAAAAATTGCCTTTATCTGTGTATATGATTATATTTAAATATGTGACTTTTCTAGATAATATTGTAGCATTTTACTGTTGTAGAAAAACAAAGTTCTGATTTACTTTTTGTAAAATATTTAAATAAGTTGTCTCTTTAGTGACTTGAAGAGTTAAAGAGTCCACTAGTTTCATTTTTAGAGATGCTTTAGTTGAAAGTAGCTTAAGCTGTTATATTTAGTGCAGTAACATGACATGAATCCCCTTTTAAATGTAGTGGAGTGGAAGAATAAAGCAGCATTAAATGAAAATACTCACGTTAAAGTACAAGTACAGTACCTATCATTTGTACTTAAGTACAGTACTTGAGTAAATGTACTTAGTTACTTCCCTCCTCTGGTAGTCAGTGAGGGGACAGCTCACCTGCAGGTCGGGGTAGCTGAGCACCACGAGCTGGGCACAGGCGTTCACATCGTCCCCTTTGATGAAGGACAGGTCCACCCCCCCCACCCTCTGCAGGCCAGAGAAGTCCGGAACCCTCTGCCAGTCCTCGGTGTCCCCCTCCACCACCTGCTGCCTGAGGAGGGCCTGCTCGCTGCAACAAGCAGGGACAACACTCACACCAATGCAAATGGACAGATTGGGTTGACATGAATTTGAATTTTTGGACAACTTAATCACATTTTTCTGTCTTACAATACTGCTGAAGATGTATTTATTTCAGTGATAATGTAAAAAATGTATAAGAATAATATACCCAGTGCCACAGTATAATGTAGAATAATGATATTTCTTTAAAAAAACGAAATACAAAAACGAAGGTGGAACCATGTGTTGGTGATTTTCTGACTAATTGTTTCAACTTTAGGAGTTTTATCCCAAATGTTTAATTTTATGATCACAGAAGCTTTACAGTTTATTCTAGTTTATTTTGGTCATATTAACTTATAAAACTACACAGATGATAAATACACAAAAAAATAATGATGTTGTTGTGATGAAAAAGCCGCTTTATGGTGTAAAGTTTATTATACCTAACCTTTTTAGAGTCATTATTTTGTACAATTCTCTTTAAATGTAAACTCTGGAAATATTCAAAAGACACAAAATAAATTATATGTCTATTAAATATACACTCAAGAGTCCCAAACTAATTAAATACAAATGTTAAACTATTTCACAACTCCTTATACTGCACACCACGTCTGTAAACCTAACTAGATAAACAAGTTTTTCATTTGGAAACACTTCTGGATAGTTTGAAAGCATCAGTTGTTTACTTTTAAAAAAAGTAATCGTGACACATACAAATTCCACAAAATCTTTCAACTTGAGAGCATGTGAGCTGATAAATGATATGTTGGTTGACTCATGATAATCAGGTCTCTTATGAATTCCATTAGAGGTTTTCTGTAGCATCAACATTTGATTTGGTATTGTCTCCTCAGATTTCCACAAAGTAGAATAAGTTGTTTTGTGCAATATTGCAACGGAGCACACACAGTATTACTCAATTATATATTAGGTCACCGTATTGGAAATATTTATCATTTTTTAAACATTAGTCAAATCATCATTACAATATACATTCAAATGATAATAGGTATATATTTTTAAGAGGATCCTTACCAAAAGAATGCATTCATTATCAATTAATTGTGCAGCCATAATTTATATTTAGTATCAAATGTTTATCTTCTGTTTGTAGTTGGTCTATAACTCACTTATTTTGTATATTTATAATGTGTATTTGATAGAGATACACTATAGATATCTTTCACTGTTGATTTGTATATATTTACTGTTTATGTGTTTGTTTACTGGTTATATGTGTTATATTATGTTAATTTTAAATTTGATTTATATGCGATGCCCTGTTTACAAGCTGCTGTAATGTTTCAACATTTTAACTAAAATGTGAATCTAACATAATCTAAAATTATTAAATACACACGCGCGCGCGCGCACACACACACACACACGACTTAATAGTGAATCACTAGCCTTCTCATTACAACCTCACACATCAGTGCTGCTGAGGACTGGTGGCATTACTCCATAGAGACAGAGAGCAGTGAAGAACCTTCTGTCAGCACACACGGAGCACTGCTTCATATCAAGCTAATACTTAGCCAATGATAACAAGTGGGATAAGTTCCATTGAGTTGTATAGTAGAAGTCACGTGTAATGAATATTAGACCAGAACAGCTCTAACCTCTCCCACTGTTTCACCAAATCTTCTGCGGGACGAGCAGACATCTCTATCCGCCGGCTGAGGAGGACACTGTCCGCAGAAATGATTTTTAATTCATAAAATCCACTGACAGCAGCAGCGTGACGTCGGTTAGTGTAGCGCGGGGGTGGCGTACCTATTTTGCTTCCGCGTACCGCGTCAAAGCGAGGGCGGAGCCTGCGCGGGGCGCCACAGTTGTGTTGAGCGGGAACATCATGCCCTCTAATGGCCAAAAGAGAGTACTATACTTAGAGAGAAATTACTGAATGCAACGCGTTATTCTACTCTACTGGAACTACAGCTTCTATCTCTTGTATTCATTGGGAACAGGGGCGGACTGGCCATACCTGTGTGTTCTGGAGAATCACAGAACGGCCGGTCGTCAGCGGGCATTTAAGTTGGTCCCCCAACTCAATCAATGTAACACTGATCCACACATGTACTGCAGTTGCTATTTCTGGTTATAAAAAGCTACATATTTCAGTTTATTTTATATTTAATGGACTGTAATTGATGCACAAGTCACGGCAGCTGGAATTTTACTAGATCGGAGACAGCTTTAAATCCTTAAAGTAAGGCAAATAATAATAATGACGAGCTAAGAGCTTAATGACATTGATGGATTACTAAATGTGACTCATGGGCCCAAACATAGGCGGCGCGTGATCGAGGCTCAGGTTTGGGAAGGCTAAATCACTTTTTTTTTATCTGACGCTGCCCGCCTCCGGCGTCTATAGAAAAGAGATCAACTCAGTGAAAGCACCGCCTGCTGACCGATCAGAGCTCAGTGTGTGGAGTTTAAATATATCAAGTCATATTACAGGAAAAAGGAAATGCAGTTTAAACTGCCGTATGCAGAGAAGACGCCGACGTGTCGCACTTATCATTCATATCACACTGACATCACATCATCAATCAGATCATCGATATCACAATATGTCCTTATCTGAGTCAGCTTCTCGAGCCGTATCTGGCCGTGCAACACTTAGTTACATTGTCACTCATGTAGACGTATTATTTTACACATTAAGTTGACGAAACACTCAACTCAAATGTAATAAAGTCAGATCCCCTCGTGTTTTAGATGGGGCAGTATAATAAAACTGTTGTACGCTTTCAAACACTCGGTAGTTTATTTTTTAACGAGTTGTTCTGTATTCTCCTTGCAGGTGCAACTATGTGGCTTGTATCCTGGATTATATGTTTAAGTCATCATGGATGTTTAAAGTTCATATTTGTCTAATATTAGTTTACTTTTCATTAATGAAGTATGACGCTGCGCTGTCAGTACACTTGTCCCTGTTTGTGATTGGTCAAATGTAGCTAACCCCGCCCCTTTCACGTGAACGCGTTCTCAGCTGGAGAGAGAAACCCTGGCTTGATTTACCGAGTTGATAACCAGCGCTAATGTCAAAGACACACACATTAGACATTATATATGTATTTTACCAGGATGCAGTTACACTAATATTTGGGCAGGCTTAGACTTCCCTAGCCTACAGCACCCGCCGCCCCTGTGCCCAAAGTATCAGGGCACCCCCTGGTCTTCACCAACAAATATCACTCAGTGACAACAACAAATAAGAGACTCAAACTGACCACAAGAAAAACATACAAAAGGCACAATTGTAGCTAATGTTTGAGTAAAGCAGTGATGACTATCATTTACTGTAAACTGCAGTTGCTCTGATAGACTAAAGGCCAAGATTCAAACCACATAACTAAAATGTCTTCAATGTATTTCTTACTAAATATCCTGTCTATCAAATAAATGCAGAAAATATGCTGAAAATCATGCCAATCTTAAACAAATGTTTGTTAAATATGGTGTGCCTCAGGGCTCTTACCCCTCCTCTCTTTTGAGTGTTTCACCCCTTTCTAAATAATATGAAATCATGGAACTCATTTCTGCTGTCTGTCGCACAGAGTATACAGTGCTATACGAATTAGAATTTAGAGCGTAGAAGAAAGTTGTTTTTCATAACTGTGTGATCTCACAAAGTTTGACTGCCAACAATCTGTGTCCTTTGATTCTCTTCTATGCTTTGATCTACACCTTTAAAATATCAACAGTACGTCCCCCCCCTACATACAGTCAAACACTGACAGCAGAACTGACAGAACCATTGAGGGGGGAACAAAACAGAAAAAGAGTCACATCATATCCTTTTTTTCTTTTTTAAAGAATAATCATTATTCAAGTCAGTGATGCAGCAAACATAAGACATTTTTATGAGTAAAAAATCCTTATATCGCTCATTTTCAGGTTTCATATCAGTATGTAGTGTCTCTACATGTCTCCATGCTTTAATGTTCAAAAAGCTCTTTATTTTTCTCATACTGCCTGTGCTGCAGCACCTCTTTTCACCCTCTGTCCGAAACCAGAGCCCAGTCTGCTCTGATTGGTCTGTTGTGATTGGTCAACTGCTTAGAGTTGTCCCACCCCTTAGCCATCATACATTGTGTTGGGGCACTAGCCAATAGAAGCACAATTGTTACTTAGTAATGTCACCATGTTGCAGAAGTAAACAAAGGAGTCCAATCGAGGTGTTTCAGACAGGGGGAGTGTGTGTTTTTGTTTTTGTTTGGCAAAAGATGCAGTTTACATTTCTCTTTTAATTAAAATAAACTGTCCAGGCCAAACATATTCTTTTAGTTTTGGATCTTAAATGTAGCTTCATTCATCACCCAAGCAAAACTAAATAAGACATTGATAACAGACGAAAAATAGATAGACAAAAATAAATGTGACACACTTGCATGTATTTTCTCATAATTCAAGTTTAATGTTTTCAAAAAATATAAAGGCGCCTTATTCTCTTTTTATCCAAACATGTACTTTCAACATTATTCCTCACATCAAGGTAAAGAGAAGATATGCAAAGTAGAGCGAAAGATAATAAACAAGACAAACGGCTATAGCCCTCATCTGTAGGTGTAAGTGCTAAAGTCAGAGAAGAAGGACGTGTTCAGGTAGCCTATGTCAGTGTTTCTCAAACTTTTTCATACCAAGGACCACTTAACCAATAAAAAAACACTCGCGGACCACCTAACTCCACAAATATCCAAAAACACATCGTTTTTTACAAATCGCCTGAAAATAGTACAAACAAGTGGCAACATGTGTGATGAAGGTGTTCATCTGGACTATATAATGCAATCGAAAGTGAAACTTAAGCTCGTTCCATTGCGGAGATATTCCCGCGAGAGTGCGGAAAACTTAAATAAATGTATTTATTTCAAATGTGAAATTTTACCAATATACTCACGGACCACTAGGGGGCGCTCACGGACCACCAGTGGTCCGCGGACCACACTTTGAGAAGCACTGGCCTATGTGGAACACAACAACATCTGAGTACACGTCTTTATGCCTATGGCTTCAAAAAAGATCCAATTTGCTTTGTACGAAATACACAATGTTTGAAAGCAAGTGTGCACATGACGAAAGTTGATAGACAAAGAGAACTATAAGAGTAGTTTGATCTGAAAATGGTGATTTACCATCAGAGGAACCATTGCAGACAGAGTAATGGAGCCTCCTGGGGAAGCACAGTTAGTAATGGAGTTCCAGACATGCTTCAGAGAGAGACTGCAGAGGCTCTTTTACAAGCATATCTTTTATCCATTCTAGCATTTATTCTTTTACACCATCATACACACTTTAAATAGCCCAACAATCTGAGGAGGTCCTTTCACTCAGTAAAGCATGTCATGTTATTGCAGTTCATGATATAAACAAGTTAACCCCTTGACCTTTCTTTAATAGTTAAACAAAAAAGTTTCATATATCAAAAACAACCACAGACAGGGTTAGTATTTTCCGTCGTATCTTTTTGTTTGTTGCCGTCAGCTGCACTTGATAACCATGGCAACAGCATGACAATGACTCTTGGCAATGGCGGTCATCTCCGCCCTCCACAGCAAAAACTGTTGCATGGATGTGTTGCATTTAGAAATGTTCATTCGATTGGTTACAGTAGTGACCTTGAAATAAAAAGCAGGTACGTTTCTAACTGATGCTTACAAAGGCTAACATGGTATTTATTGACACAACTCTTAAAATGGCTATGTCTTAATCTTTTAAATAATATAGATCTTGTAAACCCGATCACCACGAAAGCATGCAGTAAACACGGAACACTGCGTCACCCCATCACCTTCAAAACACAACCCCACTCAACACTAGCACATGTACAGTATCAATGATAATCACTCAGTAACATTCATCCTTAATGCACGCTGAAATCTACACCACTCTGAAAAATAAGTTGAGAATGATGGCGGCCTGATAGCATCACGACCTTCAAAATGTGTTCAAAATCAGTTGCACATTCACAAATCAGGCAAGGCATCACCTTAACGACTTGATTTCGCATCTCAAACGTGAACACGCTGGACAGGAACCAAACAAACTGTAAGTCGTTCAAAGGAAAATAAAAAAAGGTGTCAAGGAGAAAATCTGGCGACTTATTTTTGTTTCTCTCCTGACACAGACTTTGTGGCTCAGTTTGCCCGCCTGTACGCAACTCACAACATCAATCTGCAATCAGCACCCATGATTTTCCACGTAGCCTACGTCTCAATGATAAATACAAATATTTCACACAGTAGAAAGTCAAACCTTTGTTATTGCTTCTAGCGGATTTACGCCGCTAAGACCCGGGTCAAATATTCAATGTTTTTCAATGTGTGATAAAGCCATCGTGAGACGGGCGGGTGGGGTTTTTAAAAACAATTTAAAAAGTGCACAGGCGCAGGACAAAAGGAATATTATTTTCTCACCAACTAGCAACTTTGCTGACACTATCTACATAAAGCGGTGCAGGAATGAGTCCTAAAACCCAGAAAGGAGTTAGCATGTACTACTTCCGCTTCCCTTCTCTCAACGTTGTTTTTCATGCTTTTGGTTAGATGACTGAAACAAGATCTGACGTAAGAGATTTTCAAGTTTTGTTCTAAAACACGTCGGTAAATACTCCACTAATACATATCTGAAGCTTCTATGCGTAATAAAAACAGTGACTAATTGAGGCAGAACATTAGCCGTCTTTGGCTCAGCGGTGGTGATGCGCAGCCATGCGACCATGATGTAGTTTGTTTAAAGCGTTAGCTTTTTACTTCTTGCAATTTAAGTTACGCTTCAAAAATGGTAAATGTGTTAATATGAGGAGATACCTTGCTCAACATCAATGTAAGTATCATAAACGTGTTTGCCAAAGATTTTCTGCAAAATGCCGAAATCCAGTGGAAAAATCCCATCTGGAGGGAGCTCTTTGATGCTTACTTCCGGGTCGGCCTTTAAAATGACATCGTCACTGCACCACTCGGTTGTGAGCTCCACCCGCTCCGGAGCTCCTTCAAATAGAAAAACTAATTATTTGCACATGTTTCAGAGTTTTCCTCCACCCCCACATTTGACCTATAAACAATTCACCAGATTCAACAAACCCCTCTGGGAATATGGCAAAACACTGTCAATCCATGCGTTTATATGTGTGGAGGTGTTTGTCTGTAACAGTTTTTCGGAGAGCGCACATGATGAGATTTGAATGCATATATGTAACAGCGCCTCCAGGGTCCTCATCTGAGCCCGCCGCTCCTCCAGATGAGAATATTGCTTCTTTCAGCTTCTGGTGCCTTTTATCTCCCGACCTTTAACATTTCAACACAAACATTCTGATAGTTCAAACTGCTGCCCAGTACAGATACCAGGCACAACAACATATATTACCTTTGTGCAAATAAATCAGCCCTTGATTTTTTTTTCTTTTTGCCTCGTATATATAATTGTTTAATTCTTTGTCTTCTGTTTGTGCAAGCATGCTTCAGTTCCAAAGAGACTGGCTGTGCAATGGAGTCCAGAGACAAGGAGGGAAGGAGGAAGAGAGGACAGTTGGTAAGGGCAGTGGAGAGGGGGCATTGTGGGGATTGAAGTCCTCAGCTTCTACCTGGAGATCATAGAGCTGGACTGTGATTGGCTGGAGGATGTGGTGACAGCGCTGAGCTGAGAGAAGCCGCTGTGGCTCGACTCCAGGCTGGTCATGGAGCCCCTGAGAGAGAGAGAGAGAGAGAGAGAGAGAGAGAGAGAGAGAGAGAGAAGAGAGAGAGAGAGAGAGAGAGAGATAACGATAGAGAGAGATAGAGCGAGAGAGAGATAGAGAGAGATAAGATAGAAGAGACGAGAGCGATAATAGATACCATCTCATGAGCCTATCTTATAACTATGATCTCTCCTCCCCTTGCTCGCGGCTCTCTCTCTCTCCTCTATCTCTTCACTCTTCATCCTCTCTCCTCGACTCTCTCCCCTCTCCTCCCTGCTTCTCTCCTATCTGCTCGCTCTTCTCTCTACCTAAGACCTGATAGAGCTAAATGCATGCATCACTTAGCATTAATTACCATATGCAGACAATAGCTAAAGTAGTGGCTTGGCCAATTTTGGAGTGATTTTCTAGGTATATTTAGGATGTTGAATCAATTTTAAGGATAGAAATGGCAGTTTTGAGTCCTCTCAAACTTCAAAATCAGCCTACCGGGAGTACAAATATTGTCATTTTCTGGTTAAAACTGCAATTTTTTATTCAGTAAAGGTGAGAAATTGATTCAACCTCCTCCTTTACATTAATTTGACATGAATGAATCAAAAAAGGACAATTTAGTATCACTTTTCTCAGGCCTATGTATATAACATCTCCCTACAGTTAAGGGTTAAGTTACATGAAGGGTTTCCTTAGGGGTAATTTTTTTAAGGTCATCAAATACAACTAGAGATGTTTAAATCTTCATTCCAAAAACCAAATAGAAGCTTTCAATGTAAAGAAACAACATTGGGTACAGCCCGTTTGAATATGTTGTTCTGCAGGTACATTACAGAGTTGTTTTGGAAAATCCTGGTAAATACAAATAAAATGAGTTAGATGTTAATCTTGGAGACTGTTTCAGAAGTCAACGTAAAATGAAACAACAGGAAGTCAAATTCTGGAAGTAGGTAGTGAAATAAACAAAGGTAGTGAAGAAAAACAAACGGCAGGAAATGTTTCTGTAAGAAGGGTTACATGTGTTGGTGTGTGTTGCGTACATGAACACCAGTGTTCATTTAGTTAACATCAGCTACGACTAAATATGTTCACCAACAACCTTTTTTTCCATAAGACTAAAACTCACAATAATGTACAAAATTGTTGACAAATGAATAATGACACCAAGAAACGAGGTCTTGTTTTGGCTGGACTAGGTGGAATGGGATGTTGAATAACATCTGATGACACATTTTTAATTCACTGAATGTAAAATAGTTTTGATCATTTTATCCAACTGGGTCTTTCCAGAATTGGAGGACATTTTCTATCCAACCTATGAAAGTTCAAATAACCCATGCCCAACATTTTAAAACATGTCCTAAGACACAATGTTAATAAAGTTGATAAAAAGTGTTGATAATATCAGATGGCACCCCGTAAAATGTCATTTTAAAATGCCCATACATTTAAGCAACTAACACTTGATGGAAAAAATGGGTTGGCTAAATAATATCAAAACTGACATTTCAAAAAGATAGAAGCTGACAAAATGAACACTGGTGCACACTTGGGTATAAAGCAGTGAAGCACTAGTTAGCTGATTTAACCCTGTCTGGGATTTCTGATGTTGTAAGTCATGCAGTAAGAACACTGCAGTCTCAGAGCAAGGATCATGTCTTTAGTGTGATCAAAGCAACCTGTTAGCTTAATGCTAACAAAAGCAGTTAACAAGATGCAAACAGGAAGCAACTTTCTGCTGCATCACAAGCATGACTGCCGCAATGACAATGAGCTAGTGCTAAAGGAAGGAGGGGCAAACACTGAGCCACTTACAAACTCTGCACATCGTAGCAAGCCGTTCTTCACAGGAAGAAGACAGAGCAGAAGGAGAGGGTTGGAAAGCTGGATTAAAAGAGTCTCTGAAGGAGGGAAGCATTTCAAAAACTTTGGGGCCTAAAAACTAAAGGCTCCTCATATTACAGATTTTAATAGCATTATAGCTTGTTGAGAGGGGGAAATAAAGAACAAAGAGGGTGCAGTCATAAAGAAATGATGTTTTGAAATTAAACATCATGGTACAAAAACGTAAAACAGAAATATGGATAGACACACTTCACGTATGGTTGAAAATGTCTTATGTCTGTGTTATGGGCCCTGTGTCTACAAAGCGTCTTATCCATGGGAAAAAAAACACACCCAGCTGTTTTTTAATGTTTCTATGGCAACAATTTCTTGTAAACACATCACCACTTTCGTTTGACAGAGTAGCTACTCCCCATTTGGTTTTTATGGTCTGTTTGTGGTTCTTTATATACTATATCTCACACTCTGTATGATAGGAATCCACAGCTTAGTCTGACAAGCGATAAGGATAACACACACAGGTACTTACCTAAAGTCCTCAGAGCCCAGCACCTCGGTGTAGAACATGACTTTGCACTTGTGCGAGGAGACCTGCAGGGTGGCCAGCACGTCGTCCACTCGGGGCAGGTTGGTGGCAGAGCAGGCCGGCATGTTGTGGAACTTCCACTGCAGGATGTAGAAACCAGGCCAACGCGTGATATGGGAGCCCTGAAGAGAGGAGGCATTCAAAGTATGATGTTAGTGACCGACAAACATAAAGCGTAAGCGTACTCAAACATTTCCGGGTTCACAGTGCTGGCAAATAAACTATAAAGTATCCAGATTGATCGTAACGTTTAAAGCGATAACAGCCCCCCCCAAAAAACTAATAATGGCAGCACAATCGTGAAAGCTCACCTGCACACTCTCGCCCTCCCTGCAGGTGAGGGGGGACTCCACCATGCTGAAGTCCTGCCCCAGCACCCAGGACTTGTCTATCAGCTGGACGTTGTTTCCCACGGGGGAGGTGATGCCGTGTGCTCCCAGGGGGTCTTTACGAGGAGGTGCGGGGGCCCTCTTGGAGTGGAAAATGTTGAAGACCACATCGCCTTTGCACATGTCAAAGTCCCAGGTGATGACGGAGGAGGCGTCGATGATCTCGATCAGAAGCTGTTAGAGGAAGAAGGGTGGGTGGTTCAACAGATATGAGTGGGTTGGCTAGAAATTGCGAGATGTTTCAGGAGAGAACTAAACCAAAGAAAAACTAAATATTTTACCTCTTAATTATCATTTATGTTTTAATGGAATCTTTCTTTGTGAGCGACCACAGCACTATGGCTGTAACGCTTCATTATCTATATCAACATTTCAATACACTGCACCTTTTATTACTTACAATATATATAACTGTGATGCAAGTCAAATGTCAGACTTGATGTGACCATATAAAGTATTATGGTATCGCCACAACAAAAATATAAAATAACCGAAACATTCATTTGAAAAACGATTTATTTATTTATTAAAAAGGCATTGATTTTGTGGTATACTCATCATTTTCATTATATGTTGTTCCGTATTTAGGCACAAGCCAAATGTGGCAAAAATAAAAACCCTGTCGGTGACAGAGGCAAACATGAACATCTGTTTGTGAGGTTATGAGCTCATTAACACAACATCAAAACCAGAGGGGATATTATATGTGACGATGCATTTCTTCCTATGGGACAAATGATGTAACAGGATTATTATGTCATTGGAAACGGATTATGTTTCAAAACTGTGCCATGTCTGGATTTAAAAAACACAAAGTCCACTCCCACAAACAGCCACTAGATGGCAGACCTTTTAAAAAAACAAAACCGCCATAAGGCAGCACTCTTCTCTCTTGCCCCATATTTGGATGTAGAACATCGCCACAGAATCTCCATCTTTTTTCACATTTTGATTTCACAAAGCCTCACCTCGTGTGGAGCTCCCTTGAAGACGCTGGCGCTTTGGTAGATGCTCTCGGTCCACAGGCGGACATCTTCGGTCTCCAGCTCCTCGGTTGTGCGGTACATGGACTTAGGAACCAGGCCGCCCTCCGGTACCTCACACTATATATACATATACACACACACACACACACACACACACACACACACACACACACACACACACACACACACACACACACACACACACACACACACACACACACACACACACACACACACACACACACACACACACACACACACACACACACACACACACACACCACACACACACACACACACACACACCACACACACACACACACCACACACACACACACACACACACACACACACACACACACACACACACACACACACACACACACACACACACACACACACACACACACACACACACACACAGAATTGGGTCAGTGAAGGTCATCAGTTTCTCTGAAAGCTCATATTCAGAACTAGGGCTGCAATAAACCATCATGATCAATCTTCCTATGCTTCATAACTATTGTCATTATATTTTATTTGATCTTTTCTGTACATTTGAATTTAATTGCTATGTTTCTATAAATATCGTTATTTTGTTTTATCTTTTTATTGCACATTCCTACTTTAACTTCTTCTTATGTTTTCATATATAGCATACTTATGTTGTTATTTATTTGTGATTGAATTATTATAGAGAGCAACTGTGGAAAAACCCAATAAAGCCCAGGATAATTAAAGTATTCTGAATCTGCCAATTATTTTCTTGATCAATTCTAGATTCATTGTATGGTTTATAAAAAGGTCTGAACATGTTCCATCCTATTTTCGAGTTTGTCTTTAAATGTCTTGTTTGATCAGTCCAAAACCCAGAGAAAGCAGAACAATCAATCAATCATCAGAAACGTTCAGTCGATTTCAGTCTACCAATCATTGCAGCTTTGTTTATAAACCATAATCCCAAATGATAAGAGGTGTGATCTTTCTCTGACACTCACCATACACTCTCCTGCCAGGAAGTCAGGGATGATCTCCTTGTCGATGTAGTCCACCAGCCCTCCAGGACCCTGGTAGTCATTGCCGGCATAGATGAGGAACTTCTTGCGGGTGTTTTCATCGATGAATGGACTCACCTAAAGGAAGAGGCAGATGTAGATATGTTTAGATGGTCTTCCTAGTTATTCCATGGCAAAGGTGTTTGAAATTAAAGCAAGAATAAGAGCAAAGCAGGATCCATGTACATTGACTTATGCAGACTGTTCGTTAATAGGGACATTTTCAGTCTTTTCTATGTTTATTTTTAAGGTCATAGTCCTGTTATATATATAGACATTTTTATTCATTGGGATAAACCCCTTGAGATGCACCATCTCGTTTTCAAGGGGGTCCCGAGCTGAGCTGTGATATAATGATATCTAAATGGGAGCGATGTGTTTGACACAGATGTTATGTTCTGCTATAATCCCATTGCTTTTTGTTGAGGGACCCCTTGCGAACTTCTGGATGGGCCTACGAAATCGTCATCACTACATCACTCTATAGAGCACAATGAACGAAAGTACTTACTGAAATTAGCTGAATTGTGCTGAATCCAGAATCCGTTTTGCTAAATACACGGCCACATACTAAACAAACTAACAACTTCATCCTAAATATTAGTTGAAATTATTTTATTGACTTAAAAATTATCGTATTGCTTCCACTAAGAAAAGAAAACTCCGTTCCACTGCGCACCAACGGCTGGAACTCCGACAACAGCCTTTTCATTTAAAAGGAACGGCAGCTCTGATCGATGTTTCCTGTGACTGTCCAAGTCTGTTCACAGTTTATCTTCCACTAACAAGTCCTTAAACACCACAGAGCCCATTCTGTGTTCCCGTTAGGGTTTACTTCCTGTCTGTCTGCTTCTGTTGATTTATCTGACGTCCAAAGCTTTGTCTTTTAACCGCTTTTCCTTCTCTCCATTTCTGAAGAACGATCGCAGATCTTTCCCATCCATATAAACGTGTGCTGTGAGAAGTCTATGCTGGATGCTGTGTGCTCTAAGTACTGACCAGGGTCCAGAGGACAGGAAACACCCTGGGCGCTCTCAGGATGAGCAGCCGGCCCAGGGTCTCGGGGTAGTTTGCCTCCACCACCTCGATGATCCTCAGCAGCGCCTTGACCCCCGGCCGCCACAGGTGACGCATGTTCAGCCCCTCCAGATCCACTAGACACGTCCAGCAGCTACAGGAGAGGGGGTGGAGAGTTACAGCTCCAAGTACTTAGAGGGTTTGACATATTTTAAGTGGGCTGCCAGTCAGAGTCAGGTCTTACAAATAAATATCCAAAATAGTTAACAAATAGTTCAGTCAAATCAGTCAAAATCATACACAAAGATTCATTCATTAGTGAATTATCACCTCATCACAGAAATGCAATACAAATAAACCACTCATATATTTTCATCATATGTATTCAATGGGGAAAAACAACACAATATTATATCAGTGTGCGTGAAATGTGTGCGGTGAAAGAGTTCAGTATTTACAGTAATCCGCTCAATAAAGAGTCCAGTTGGGTTACTTGGGTAACACACACATAATTCGGTTCAGTCTAGTTCATAGGCCCACAAATAAAGGCAACTCCAAAAAGTCCACACACAGGCCACTGCCTCATTCCGACCACTTGGCACCTCTCACTCGGGAGTTAAGCTTCAGCGGTGAAAGCAACACTTACTAATTCTAGACCCCGACCCCCCCTTACATCCTCCCTTACCCATCTATGCAGGCTTCTACGTGACAGCCATTCATAGTTTGCATGCCTTCCTGCTGGCTCTTATCCATGTCGCCTCCTGCTGTTAGAGGAGGCTGCCAAATACCACATATCTCAACCCCCCCACCACCACTCTCTTGATTGCTGCTTGAATCTAAACACTAACGGTACGTCCACACGGCAGCGTGCGTTGAAGCTTGCCGGTGGGCGTGTCTGGAGCTCGACCAACAACCAATCACATTAATCTCCCGCCCCGGACACACAAGCACACGGTTTGATTGGCTAGAGCTTGTACTTGCATATGATTTGATTGGCTGACGCTTCCGTCGAAGCTTGAAAAGTTGAACTTTTCTCAACTTTCGAAGCGAGCGACGGAGGCAAAGCGACGCGACGGAACCACAATGCAGTTCGGCAAAGCGTGACGTCACCCCATTCAAAGTGAATGGGAAGTTGTGGCCCGTCCACACGGAGACGAAAACAAACCGAAGTCGATATCAAAAAAGTATTCCGTCCACACGGAATCGGCTCAAGAAACGTGTCAGCCCACACGAGACCGCTCGACCCGCTGGAGACGCTGTAGTACATATGCCGGGCCTGTAAGTGGCGCTGTACTTCAGCCACAAAATACACCAAAAGCAGCGAATAAGACCCCGCGAGCATGGTTGCCATGGTTGCCACGGTTGCCTGGTTGCCCTTCTGGTTATTCCCCGCGGTGGATTTAGCAACATGTAGTTCATGTAGTTCTCCATGTCCACTTGTTGCTGATGGTTGTGGTAGAGGAGCTGTAGATTTTGCACTAACATCTGTATCATGGTCAGTAGCGTCTGGAGCATGAACGCAACCCTGTGATTCGCCATTGTTGTTGTTGGTGAAACGCATCAGCAATTACACAGGTGACGCAGGGGTGAGCAGGAGAGGTGGGGCTATGATCGTATAGGGCGTACACACGGAGCCGCAAGCGTTTCGTTACCAGACCTTCCCACTTTGGGATGCGTTATCGTTTGAGGGCTCCGTTTCCGTGTCGGCCTCGTGTGGACTTCAGACCAGGGCCTACTGGCTGTCCCACGGTCTCTTATAAAAACTAAAGGTGACCGTGCCTTTCAGGTGGAGCTCCAACACTGTGGAACTCTCTCCCTATAGACATCCGCTCTGCAATCTCAGAAGCTTTTAAAAAACTACTGAAGACCCATCTTTTTACATTGGCTTTTGTTTATACTTGAGATGTGTGTGATGTGTTCTGTTCTTATGATGTGTTCTGTTCTTAGTCCTTTCAGGACTCCACGTGGTCTGTGTTTTGTTTTTATGTTGACCTTAAACATTTCTGCCTCATGTTGTTATTGTATTCTGTGGTCTTCATTTTAACTTTTGTTCTTTCTTGTGAAGCACTTGGTGAATTATATTTCTGTGAAAGGTGCTATACTAAATAAACGTATTACTGTAGGAGGGTGGGGCGGAACACTTTTCAAAATAAAAAAATTTCAGAAAATTGTGTAAAATAAAATAATAAATCAAAGATATTAAACAAAATTAAGAAAGTAGAAACATAGACTGTGATCATCAAAATGGTTGACTACTCATTTTTATGTTGCTCTGCTCAAACTGATTAATTTCCCCCCGCTCTACATTGATCAGGACAGAAGATTTACCTGATGGGTCGGCCGAACACCTTTGTGTTCTCCTCGCAGCGCCTCAGCCCTTCCTCATTAATAGACAGCACCTGAAAAGACACAACGTGACATCAGTGATCTCCTGAGTGTTTGGCTCACTGTAACCTGAACTAACAGTGAGTGCAACATCATAAACAAGCAGGCTATTTATACATGTACAGTAGCGTTTACATCCTGCTGTTGATACACTTGGCATGCCAGGGTTCTAACCTGTAATCCAGCCACCAGCTGCCGGACCTATAAACTTCACATTGTGCCCTCTGACAGACGCAGGCTGCGTTTGTGTTACGTACGTGTCTGAGCAGAGACTCCTCTCCGAGAGCGCGGACCAGTCCTTTGGTGTCCATCTGACCCAACCTCAGGACGTACAGAGGCCGACCATCTGGAGGAGGAAAACAAACATTTATTTATCACGCCGTTTGCTTTCTACAGGGCTGCCTGTTAAACAGAAATGTCTGCATAGCCTATTGTGTAAGGCAATAATTCACTAAGAAATGCTTTCCTATGTGTTGATCTCATTCAAGGACTTGGGGACTGATGTTTGTAAATTAAATAAGATGTATATTGTCAACCCTGTTGTTAACTAGAAATCCACAACATGCATCAACAGGTAGAATGTGACTATGTGTGTGAGCTTTTTGGGTAACTATGTAATGCCGATACATTTGCCTCATGATAATTGATTTGCTTGTTGCATGTTTGATTATAAGAACCTGAAGAACCTAAATCTTCCTTAAGTGAAGTAAAGCCAGCTCTGAAAAGGACTACAATGTATGGACTAATAAATGTATGTGTGTTTCCATACGTACGCATGAGACAAAGATTTATTTTTCTTAACCAGATTCTAGGGTTTTTCCCACTCAACAACCCTGAACAATTTGCATATATTGTACTTTCACTACCTCACTGCATTACAATGTAGTTAAAGAAATGAAACCATTTCGCACACTTTTATAATATAAATTATCCACTGTTCTTGAGTTTTTTAACTTGTTTTGTATATTTTATATTGAGTATACTAGATATATATATGTATACTGTTGAAATGTATGTATTTACTGTTAATTTGTATTTCTTCTTTACTTTTATTACATTTTTAACTCTTGTTAAAAACGCCTGTTAATATGCTGCCATGACAAAACAATTTCCCAATTTGGGAATCTAATTTTATGCAAAATGTTCAACTGTCTTTGAGTATACCTGTGGATTTGACCATTTTAATGTTTTGCTTTTAATTCAATGCTCACACCGATGCCCTCCGTTAGGTCCTACCTCTGTCGTGGTGGTGCCAGCCTCCGGTGTAGAAGTCCTGGAGGACCTGAGGTGAGCTCCAGGTCTCCAGAAGGTAGTCCACCTGGTGCTGCTTCCTCCAGGTCAGCGACTGGCAGAGGAAACTCCCGTGCCTTGTCCATGTTGAAGTCCCTGGCACGCAAGAAGCGCAGTATGTGCTCGTCCTTAGGGATCTGGACAGGAAGGAAAGAGCGTTTTGTAAATAAAAAAACTAAACTTTCACTAACAATAAAATGTCTGATCTCATGGGTTACACTGGTGTTAGAACCGGTTTAGTTACCAGTGGGAAAATGTCTTCACTGTGGCATTCCTAGTGGACAGTGAGCCTTCTAAAAATGTCTGAATTCATTATAGCTGAAAATTGCTACCGAGTCCTAAAACATCGATACGAGTTGGCATTTTACCACCCTCGTTTCAAAGTCAATGGTTTTTTTTAAATTCGATTTTGATTAAATGCCTAAAATAATGTAAATGGTAAGTCAATACCCAATGTGGAAAATTCTTAATTTTTACATTAACAAGTGTCGCTTGCTAACAAGTGTCTAACTGAGACTACTAAACGATAAACAGTAGCCGCCTTTAGCTTAGCAGTGGTGATGCGCAGCCAGAGGATCGTAACTTAGTTTGTGTACAGCCTAACGTAAGCTTTTACTTCTGGTGATTGCCTTTACACCTCGAAAATCATAAAAGTGGTGTTAATATATGGAGATTTTCCTGCTGAAAATAAAATGGTGCTTTTTGCTTATTTGTCAAGGCAGCCCTTTCGATGCTAATTTCCAGTTCGGCCTACAAAAACACATCACCATTGCACCAATCTATTATGTTTGATTTCAACATAACTACAAGTGTTAAACAGTTACCTTTCCCTTATGCGTCTCCTGCAGCCATTTGCGAAGTCTGATCAGACAGCTCTCCTGCAGGGGGGTCAGGTCGCCTAGGTAACGTTTGATATAGTCCGCATCCAACTTATCTGAAACACCAACAACATCTCAAATCAACATTATTCAGTCAAACACTTCTGTGTTAATTAATCTGTAGTATACACAAACAAAACCCAATAACAGGTCAATAACTGCCATTTCTCTGTCATTCTAAGACCTTTTAAGGTTTAACTTTCCTTTATTTTCATATTTTGCTAGCAAATGTGCATCCCTCCATTTGTTAACTATGAGGCTTTGCTTTGTGTGTATTCTGCGGTTATATCTGTCAAGTTGTTTCCCTACTATGTATCAAACGTGCATATAGGGCTGGCTTTCTCTTTATGATCCTCTGCAGGAACAGACCTTCGGGTGTCCCCGTCAGGATCTCCGTCAGGACGTCTGCCTGAAGTGTGCTGCTGTCCTGCGTGTCGTCCTGAGAGTTGCTGTCCTTAGCGTTGATGGGCAGCGGGATAGAAATGGGGAAGGTGATGGCGGGTTTGGGGGGGACAGGTAGGCTGGTGAAGAGGCTGGTGGGTCTGGAGACAGGCAGGGGGAGGGAGGAGGGAGTCCAGCGCGGCACCTGGGTGATCCCTTCATCTTCAAGCTCCTTCAGGTAGAAACTCGATGATTTCTTTTCCCTGTGAGGAAAACAAGTGGGGGAAAAAAGTGAGGATTAAGGCGGAAATGGCAGAAGAAGCTGTGAATTCAAGGACATTAGATTACAGTGAGGTATACAGACCAACATTACTCAAGATACTGTATCTCTGTGTACTAATATATATATATATATATATAATAAGCAGATATATATATATATATAACTATAAGGAAAGTTTAGGCTCTGCATATTTGACCTGACACTGACCAATACTCACCCTTTCAGAGTGGCTCTTAATGTGTGATTAATGTTGTGTCCTTGCGCTAAATATTGTTTTATTAGCTAGTTTATTTTATTAATTTTTACCTAAGTGTCTTTGAGCACCTGATAAAAGGCTTTAAAATCTAATGTATTATTATTATTTAGAATTTCAAACTGATGCCTTGTAAAAACAGGGGGAAAATATAGAGAATGCATTTCACACATCCATCATAAATGAAGGCAGATGACTCATTGGGTCCAGAGCAGAAAAATCCTCTACAAGCTTGTTTCTGCAATTACAGCATGAGGCAGACTGACTCATGCTTCAAAAACCTCTCAAATCAAAAATATTGCTGTATTTTCTACCAATGTGTCTGTCTGTGGGTACAAAGAAAGCATAAAAGACACGTGTACATTTATTAAGTTACCTTTTTGATACTGCTGGCATACTGCTTCATAGCAATCTTTTCCACGTTGCTCTCAAAACCGAAGAAGGACTTGATGTCCAGGCTGGCGGTCTGCTCGAAACACGTCCAGGCATCATTCTCAGGATGAACCTACACAGAAGCATAAACAAACAATATATAGTAAACTTAATAAACACATGCAGGAACAAGATGCCCAGGTTACCATGGTTACCACACACCAAGGTTCACTAGAATAGATGATGACGCATGCATGTGGCACTTGTCACACTGTGCACTGTGAGTGGGAGTGTGTGTGTATAAAAATAGCCAGCCCCTTTACACATGCAGTGAGCAGCATGAAGGTTTTGAAAGGTAATGTCAAAAAGAACATGTGGCTTTTCGGACAAAAATTTGAGAAAATAATCAGTTTAAATGATGAAAAACTAATACAAAGCACAGGTTTAATGACTGTAGCAAAGGCATTATTCCCGGGTTATGTACGCGAAATCTCAGGAACGCCTTGACATGGGAATTTTAGGAATTTTTTTGAAACGGGCACAAATGTTGATTTAGCCTTGAAAATAAAACACCAAAACTCATGAATTCATGCGGATAAAATGATGATGATTTGGGACAGACATGGATTTAAACTACTTGACTGGTTGGAGATCAAAGATAGTAAGGAAGGGAAAGATGCATCACTCTATAACAGCGCTGTACAACTGGTAGTGGACCCAGTGTTTTATTATATAGTACCAGAGTGATAGGTTTTCTATATAGCAGATTGCTTTGTGTGAGTTTCAAATTAGTTGTCAATGAGTTGTTTTGTCTTTGTGTTGTTAATGTCAATTATTAAATCTCCTGAGAAGTTTTGATTAAGGACCCTCAGTATTTGGACTAAGAAGCACATGACAACTAAGGCATTGCCAAATGTAGATGTTCACAATGTTAATCACTTAGGTGAATACAACAAACTTTTCAGAGAACTAAAGAAAAGAAAGTTGAATGCTTCCTGAAAGCTTTGTGCTGGCACCATAACGCTTTGCTACCAAAGTATTTCAGCGTGAGCCAGGTCCATTAGCTCAGTGTGCTGAAGCACACAATAAGAACCTCTGTGCGGCCTTGGACCTATAATTAGCACGACAGTTTGTTGGAGGCTAATAGGATGTGCTTGACCTCATTAACTTAGAGTACATCCATTCATGAATCGGCACATCTGAAGTCAGAGTTACGCACACAGCGGGGAGAAAACAGAAGACATGCTGGTTTCAGATCAGAAGTTCAGGGCGTTCAGTCAGAATGTGAGCGGAATGAATAATTCACAGAGAAAGAGCTAGCAAAATGCTTAGCACTAGTCTAAACATGGATTTCTGTGCAGGGAAGCAGGGAAGAGATTAGAGGAGACACAAACATTAAAATGGCTGTGCTAGCAGCTTAACAGCAGCTTTACTGAACGTGCGTGTGTTTGCTTCTTTGTTCTGTCAATCTCAATGGGTTGCAGGGCTGTACCAAATACTTCTTCCATAACGTTGACATTAGAACAAATATACTTCGTATTTGTGTTGCTTTTGCACTTAAATGGCACTGGGGTGTGTGTGTGTGTGCTACTGACCGAATAGCAGCAGGTCTCATGGATGATGACCCTGTTGGAGAAGGTGTCATTATGGGACTCGATGTGAAGTGTCCTCTCCTTGCGGTTGAGAGTGTTATTCTGGATGAAGTACACATAGTCCACACCCGCAATCTGCAAACCAAACACACAACTCATGTTACAAGAAACCAGACACCAAAAATAGGTAATGTCCTAATGAACTACTATACGCCCAGCCATTAATGAACACGCAAATGTATTTTATGAAATAAAAAGAAATTATTAATACTCTCAAAAACTCAAAGCCAATTTCTCATGGAAGAAATATTCCAACAAACCATTACAAGGTGGCAAAACAAAACATGAAAAGTGACAAAATTAGCTTTAACAAAGTGTGGGATTATATGGAACAATTATTATGTTCGGGCCATATGTTACGTGTGTGTGTTTTTGGTTATTGGGTGTATCGGACAGTTGACCTAGTTATTTGCACTTAGAAGGTTGTTTTGTATCAAGATACATTTGGCAAGGGAAGAAACCAAGGGTTAGATTCTGTACTCTTCAACAAGCAAAAAACAAGGGAGGAGTAGCGCTCCCCTGCTTGAAGGACTACTATATATCAGCCCAATTAAGAAGCTTGTTCTGCTGGGGCAAGCCAGACTACAGAGCTAGATGGAAACAAATTGAGAATAATGTATCAGGGGGAGTACCAATCGAGGCAAGGTTAGGGCATAAAAGACATGTTAAAAACTTACTGGAAAAAGATAACAGTTGGATAAACCTCTCCTTAAAATGATGGTTAAGGGTCCTTACCAGGAGTGACTTGCTGGAGGAAATGAAGATATTAAGATGGTGCTCACATGATCTTGATTTCACCCCGAGCAAGCTAGATACAAAATGTAAAGGCTTGGGCCAAACATGGTCTTCCTTCATATTGCACATTTTTCAGCAAAGGAACCATGTTTGATTTTCAAACACTAAACTAACGATATGGATTGAATAACGGTGATTTTTTTTTAGATTTCTACAGGTACGTCACTACTTAAATAGTTCCCTGTCAGACAGCCAGAAGGCCCTTGAAAACCCTTTATTAATAGTTTTCACCAGTGCATACACATCAGACACATGTGGGATGAAAGTAATCTCAAAACTTTACCAACCTCTTCAAGATATTAAAAAGGAAAATACTTTCTATATAAAACACAAATGGGAAAACGAAACAAAAACCCATCCCTGACGAAGTCTGGACAAATGGCTGTACTTTTCAATGGAAGATCTCGAGCTCAGGCACCTACAGGATGTTTACTTGGAAGATGCTGAGCAGGTACTTTTTCAGCCCTGCTCAGTCATCACATCATCGAGGGACCCCAGCTGCTGGAGGAAATGTGGTTCTCAGTTAGCACATCACTACCATTTGTTTTGGGCTTGCCCTTTACTAGTAACTTTTTGGCAAAAGATCCATATGGAAATTGAAATAGTACTACAGGAAAAAATCCCTTTAAACTGGGACGAATTTCTATTTGGGCTCGTACATTCCAAACTCCAAAACAAAACAATTACTTGGAATTCTTACTGTTGCAGCAAAAAAAGCAATAACTAGAAAATGTCTCAAAGCGGATATCAATTCTCTCGACAACTGGTACGACAAAATCCATGTTATGGAAAGAATCACCTTCTCAATGAGGCTTCAGGAAAACACATTTGAAGAAATATGGAAAAAGTGGAGAATTTACATATCCCAAAGACGACCATCCCTTGTTTGACTGTTTCTATACACCGATTGAATGTATATGTATAGGTGTGTATTGAATGTATATATGTATGTTGATATGAATGCATATGTACATGTGTAGACATTTGCTATTTCAAACAACCCCTGTGTACTTTTTCGTTTTTATTTTACTTTGACTAATTTTGTTTGCTATTTCATTTGTCACTTTCGGGTCTCTAAAAATATATGATTTGAAAAACTGTACTTGTATTATAATGTGACCCCAAATAAATAAAGAATGAAAAGAAAAGAAAAGAAGGTTGTTTTGTGTGTGTAAGCTGGTATTGTCATCTTATCATACTGGTGTGTCCTTTTTGTGTATTCAATGCTATAATTGAGATGCCCATTAGCTGACGATCTTATGTGCATCGTACCCTTTTGAGCAGGCGCGGGGCGTCAACATCCAGGGCGCAGCGGCGCTGCACTCGGGTGGTGGAGCCGTCCTCGTTGGTCTCCTCTTCCACCACGTCACTCGCCACAAACATAGGGATCAGGTGACATGTGGGGAACCGGCGTTCATAAGCCTGAAAAAGAAAAGGAAGCAGAATTGTCAGCTCACACACAGGTTTTTAATCTGGGAGGATATCTTTTAGGTATTCAGTTTCATTCTCAAAGAGAAAAGTTAAAAAGGTTTCCCTGTTTCTAAAGTGCTGATTCTCTGTCTGTTACTTTAGATGAAAACAAGGAGCCCCTCCCCACGCCCCTCTGAGAGACATTTGGTTACAAAGAACTCAATGGTGCTCTAGGAGGAGATTCAGGTGATAAGGGGGGGGGGGGGGGGGGGGGGGTTACCTTGGTTGGTGATTGGCTAATGGTTGGCAAAATCTGATCAGCTCATTTTCAGACAAGTTTTTATAGAAATGGATCAGGACAAAAGAAAGATAGGGGACACCAATGTTGATGTAAGAAGAGACCAATGAAGAAAGAGGGGACAGCATGTTGATGTAGAAGAGACATGAAGAAGAGGGGACACATGTTGTGTAGAAGAGACATGGAGAAGAGGGGACACATGTTGATGTAGAGAAAGACATGAAGAAGAGGGGAGCAACAATGTTGATGTAGAAGAGACATGAAGAAGAGGGGACAACATGTTGAATGTAGAATAGACATGAAGAAGAGGGGTACACATCGTTGATGTAGAAGAGACATGAAGGAGAGGGGACACATGTTGAATTAGAAGAGAACATGAAGAAGAGGGGAAACATGTTGATGTAGAAGAAGGACATGAAGAAGAGGGGACACATGTTGATGTAGAAGAGACATGAAGAAGAGGGGACAAACCATGTTGATGTAGAAGAGACATGAAGAAGAGGGGACACATGTGATGTTAGAAGAGACATGAAGAAGAGGGGACACATGTTGATGTTAGAGGAAACATGAAGAAAAAGGGACACATGTTGATGTAGAAGAGATATGAAGAAGAGGGGACACATGTTGATGTAGAAGAGACATGAAGAAGAGGGGACACATGTTGATGAAGAAGAGACATGAAGAAGAGGGGACACATGTTGATGTAGAAGAGATATGAAGAAGAGGGGACACATGTTGATGTAGAAGAGACATGAAGAAGAGGGGACACATGTTGATGAGAAGAGACATGAAGAAGAGGGGACACAGTTGATTAGAAGAGACCATGAAGAAGAGGGGACCATGTTGATGTAGAAGAGACATGAAGAAGAGTCGGGACACATGTTGATGAAGAAGAGACATGAAGAAGAGGGGACACATGTTGATGTAGAAGAGACATGAAGAAGAGGGGACACATGTTAATGTAAGAAGAGACATGGAGAAGAGGGGACACATGTTGATGAGAAGAGACATGAAGAAGAGGGGACACATGTTGATGTAGAAGAGACATGAAGAAGAGGGGACACTGTTGATGTAGAAGATGACATGAAGAAGAGGGGACACATGTTGATGTAGAAGAGACATGAAGAAGAGGGGAAACATTTGATGTAGAAGAGACATGAAGAAGAGGGGAAACATGTTGATGTAGAAGAGACATGAAGAAGAGGGGACACATGTTGATGTAGAAGAGACATGAAGAAGAGGGGACACATGTTGATGTAGAAGAGACATGAAGAAGAGGGGACATATGTTGATGTAGAGAGACATGAAGAAGAGGGGACACATGTTGATGTAGAAGAGAGTAAAGAGACATGAAGAAGAGGGGACACATGTTGATGTAGAAGGAGACATGAAGAAGAGGGGGACACATGTTGATGTAGAAGAGACATGAAGAAGAGGGGACACATGTTGATGTAGAAGAGACATGAAGAAGAGGGGACACATGTGATGTAAGAAGAGACATGAAGAAGAGGGGACACATGTTGATGTAGAAGAGACATGAAGAAGAGGGGACACATGTTGATGTAGAAGAGACATGAAGAAGAGAGGGGACACATGTTGATGTAGAAGAGACATGGAGAAGAGGGGACACATGTTGATGTAGAAGAGACATGAAGAAGAGGGGACACATGTTGATGTAGAAGAGACATGAAGAAGAGGGGACACATGTTGATGTAGAAGAGACATGAAGAAGAGGGGAAACATGTGATGTAGAAAGAGGACATGAAGAAGACGGGGACACATGGTTGATGTAGAAGAGACATGAAGAAGAGGGGACACATGTTGATGTAGAAGAGACATGAAGAAGAGGGGGACATATGTTGATGTAGAAGAGACATGAAGAAAAGGGGGACACATGTTGATGTAGAAGAGACATGAAGAAGAGGGGACACATGTTGATGTAGAAGAGATATGAAGAAGAGGGGACACATGTTGATGTAGAAGAGACATGAAGAAGAGGGGACACATGTTGATGTAGAAGAGACATGAAGAAGAGGGGACACATGTTGATGTAGAAGAGACATGAAGAAGAGGGGACACATGTTGATGTAGAAGAGACATGAAGAAGAGGGGACACATGTTGATGTAGAAGAGACATGAAGAATGATGGGGACACATGTTGATTAGAAGAGACATGAAGAAGAGGGGACACATGTTGATGAAGAAGAGACATGAAGAGAGGGGACACATGTTTGATGTAGAAGAGACATGAAGAAGAGGGGACACATGTTGATGTAGAAGAGACATGAAGAAGAGGGGACACATGTTGATGAAGAAGAGACATGAAGAAGAGGGGACACATGTTGATGTAGAAGAGACATGAAGAAGAGGGGACACATGTTGATGTAGAAGAGACATGAAGAAGAGGGGACACATGTTGATGTAGAAGAGACATGAAGAAGAGGGGACACATGTTGATGTAGAAGAGACATGAAGAAGAGGGGACACATGTTGATGTAGAAGAGACATGAAGAAGAGGGGACACATGTTGATGTAGAAGAGACATGAAGAAGAGGGGACACATGTTGATGTAGAAGAGACAAGAAGAAGAGGGGACACATGTTGATGTGGAAGAGACATGAAGAAGAGGGGACACATGTTGATGTAGGAAGAGACATGAAGAAGAGGGGACACATGTTGGATGTGGAAGAGACTGAAGAAGAGGGGACAAATGTTGATGAAGAGAGACATGAAGAAGAGGGGACACATGTTGATGTAGAAGAGACATGAGAAGAGGGGACACATGTTGATGTGGAAGAGACATGAAGAAGAGGGGACACATGTTGATGTAGAAGAGACATGAAGAAGAGGGGACACATGTGATGTAGAAGAGACATGAAGAAGAGGGGACACATGTTGATGTAGAAGAGACATGAAGAAGAGGGGGACACATGTTGATGTAGAAGAGACATGAAGAAGAGGGGACACATGTTGATTGTAGAAGAGACATGAAGAAGAGGGGACCACATGTTGATGTAGAAGAGGACATGAAGAAGCAGGGGACACATGTTGATGTAGAAGAGACATGAAGAAGAGGGGACACGTGTTGATGTAGAAGAGACATGAAGAAGAGGGACACGTGTTGATGTAGAAGAGACATGAAGAAGAGGGGGACCGTGTTGATGTAGAAGAGACAAGAAGAAGAGGGGACACGTGTTGATGTAGAAGAGACATTGAAGAAGAGGGGACACGTGTTGATGTAGAAGAGACATGAAGAAGAGGGGGACACATGTTGATGTAGAGAGACATGAAGAAGAGGGGACACATGTTGATTAGAAGAGACAGGAAGAAAGCGGGGACACATGTTGATGTAGAAGAGACAGAAGAAGAGGGGACACATGTTGATGTAGAAGAGACATGAAGAAGAGGGGACACTGTTGATGTAGAAGAGACATGAAGAAGAGGGGACACATGTTGATGTAGAAGAGACTGAAGAAGAGGGGACACATGTTGATAGTAGCAGAGACATGAGAAGAGGGGACACATGTTGATGTAGAAGAGACATGAAGAAGAGGGGACACATGTTGATGTAAATGAAGCAGAGGGACATGAAGAAGAGGGGACACATGTTGATGTAGAAGAGACATGAAGAAGGGGGACACCGTTGATGTAGAAGAGACATGGAGAAGAGGGACACATGTTGATGTAGAAGAGACATGAGAAGAGGGGACACATGTTGATGAGAAGAGACATAAGAAGAGGGGACACATGTTGATGTAGAAGAGACTGAAGAAGAGGGGACACATGTTGATGTAGAGAGAGACATGAAGAAGAGGGACACATGTTGATGTAGAGAGACATGAAGAAGAGGGGACACATGTTGATGTAGAAGAGACATGAAGAAGGGGACACATGTTGATGTAGAAGAGACATGATAAGAAGAGGGGACACATGTTGATGTAGAAGAGACATGAAGAAGAGGGACACATGTTGATGTAGAAGAGACATGAAGAAGAGGGGACACATGTATGTAGAAGAGACATGAAGAAGAGGGGACACATGTTGATGTAGAAGAGACATGAAGAGAGGGACACATGTTGATGTAGAAGAGACATGAGAAGAGGGGACACATGTTGATGTAGAAGAGACATGAAGAAGAGGGGACACATGTTGATGTAGAAGAGACATGAAGAAGAGGGGACACATGTTGATGTAGAAGAGACATGAAGAAGAGGGGACACATGATTGATGTAGAAGAGACATGAAGAAGAGGGGACACATGTTGATGTAGAAGAGACATGAAGAAGAGGGGACACATGTTGATGTAGAAGAGACATGAAGAAGAGGGGACACATGTTGATGTAGAAGAGACATGAAGAAGAGGGGACACATGTTGATGTAGAAGAGACATGAAGAAGAGGGGACACATGTTGATGTAGAAGAGACATGAAGAAGAGGGGACACATGTTGATGTAGAAGAGACATGAAGAAGAGGGGACACATGTTGATGTAGAAGAGACATGAAGAAGAGGGGACACATGTTGATGTAGAAGAGACATGAAGAAGAGGGGACACATGTTGATGTAGAGAGACATGAAGAAGAGGGGACACATGTTGATGTAGAAGAGACATGAGAGAGAGGGGACACATGTTGATGTAGAAGAGACATGGAGAAGAGGGGACACATGTTGATGTAGAAGAGACATGAAGAAGAGGGGACACATGTTGATGAAGA